GCCCAAGAAATGTCAAAAAGCTAAAAGTACACATGCTGAAAAAACTTTCAACAACAAAGCATCCAGGTTGACTGTCGACTAAGGAGGAAATCCTTAGAAGAATCCTTGACCAAGTTCCTTGACGAAACGCAAAACAATCTGCCACCAGATTGGTCTTGACTCTTCTTAAAGAAAACGTCCTTGTTACCCAAACCAAAAGAAACCTTTTTCATGCTATTAACATTCTTAATCACCTTACAAGGATCATCCACACCCTTAAATTTCTAAATGAATTCATCCAACATTTCCAAAAAGACCAAGCAACCTCTTTTTTTAACAAGATATAAATTTTTCATTGATATATGAAAAGGAACAAAATTGTTCAATGATACAAACTCCCGAAGGAGTGAGAGATAAAAACAAGAAATATAAAATAAAACATTGGACAAGACTACAAATGAGAAATAAAGTCCTCCCAATTCATATAAATCATACTAGGGGAATACGAAGAGAAAATATCGGAAAGATCAGGCCATTGAGAAGCTTTGAATTTGGCAACGTTTAAGCATTCTAATGACGGACGATAAGAATCTTCAAATATCCCTTGATTCCTCTCGAACCATAATTCTTAGATGATTGCTTAAACCCATTAATCCAAAGTAGATTAGCTTTAGGCACCAACCAAACTCCATGTAGAAGCTGAAAAATATTATTAGCAACCTCACGATCCCCCACCCATACTAATTGGAACATCTGGAAGAAAAGATTCCAACAAACAGCAGCATATGGGCAGAAAAAGAAGACATGATTCAAACTTCCCCCTTTTGTCAGCACATAATAAGCAAATGGATGGCTGAAAAGCCACTTTAGGAGTCTTCCTGGTTTTACAAGTCTTCCTCTGTAGAACATCTGTTGTGTTGACCTTGCCATATAAGAGAATCCAAGCTAACATATTAACTCGTTTTGGGCTGCCCGAACTCCAAAGAGAGAATAGAAGAGCTTTTGAAACCCACAAATCTGCTCTTTGAATCTTACAAAGAGAAGAAACAGAGAAGAGGCCCGACTTTTCCAAGCAACCTCTTTTTTGAAACCTAGCCGGGACCAAAATACAATTCTTGGTACCTTCATTAGACCAAAAGGAAATCTCAACATACCAACTGAAACAATTATACTTTTTTGTAACCATAAAACAGCCTTGTTCTCCTCTCATATACTTAAAAAATTTGACATTCAGAGGACACCTCCAAAGTTCTGCAAAAACTTGCTCTTCCCACATGAAAAGATTCCATTGAAGCTTGATAAAGAAATAACAATCTTTTCTTCTAAAAGATGATTTCCATGAACAGAACGAATAAAGAAAGATTTATTCGCTATGCAACAACTACTATCCAAGCTATTTATAGGCGAACAAGATGCAACTACTAGAAAGTCATCCTTCAAAGACCATCTTCAATCATTTTTAACTTTGAGCTCATCTTCTAGGGCTCTGTATATTGCAAATATTTTAGCATAACCAATGGTTAACTCCTTCCGCTTGGGGAGAAGCTCCAACACTCTTCTAGCTCGGGCTTCTGTGCAAGAAACCCTTTTTTTTTCAAACTTCCGAATTCCAAATTTAGAGTATCAAGCCATCTTTCAAAGGCAATATAAGAATTGGAAGAGACTCCAATAGAAAATTTAGAGGAAAGGGAATGAGAGGTTATTTCAGTTGATCTCAAGAAAAAGCTCACAACCCAAATGAATCTTCGAAAGACCATACAGATCAAGAAGAGGGGAGCTTTAAATTTCCTAGAAGGTAACCAACAGATGGATCCCCCTTCTTTAAAAAGGAGATGCAAAGACATTTAGAAGATGCTGCCGGAAAAATACCCTTTAAATTCTCCAACCAAACAAAAATTGATGCGAAAAAGACCCATTCAAATTCTCCAACCAAAAAAGTTGACACTATCAAAAAAGACCCTTCAAATTCTCAAACCATAAAATTTGATGCTAGGACAATTATGACAGGAAAAACTCCTTGAAAGCTACACAGCCAACAGAAAAAACAGGAGCAATTAAACTCACGCTGCTTTCCAATATGACATTAATAAGCAAATCATAAATAAATAACAATCAGTGACCTTTCGGCTTCAACAATGATGAATTATGGAAATTGTTCCCATGCACTCTCAATCTTTTTGTAATTACGGTTCTCTTTCTATGAAAAAGGCCCAACTGAAGTATTCTTTTGCTGTCTCCTTGACTCCTCAGTGGGTTATTCTCTCCCCTTTTGTGATTAACACCAACTAATGAAAAGTTTGCTAACCATAATAACAATATGATAATAAAATGATTTGACCAATTTACGTCAAGAATAGTTTGGATGAGACAAAATAAGTAGTGAACTTTCCTCAAGCCACCAAAAGTGCAAAATATAGGGCCCGTTACTGAAATGGGAAGATTTATCCTAATGTTTAGGTATACTCAATTAATGGCTATAGTACAATACCCAAAGCTATCCCAGTAATATAGAAATAAGAAATGAAACAGTTATCAGAAGGTCAAATACAGATGCAGCATTCAAGTCTTGGTATTAAAATTTGTGAACTAATTTAAGGTTGAATATACCAAGAGTTCAGGATGTCAAACAATAACAAAACGACTATTAATAAAGTTCATGATCCAAATTGTCATTCACAATCAAAAAGTTTATTCTCATAGAACAGACCTCACATTCAGTGATGAGGGATGTACTATATAGTCTGATAATATGAGCAACTGACCGCAAGACTATGCGTCGGAAATAAGGCTCTCCTGCTTCTCCTTCAAGCTAACATGTCATAGAAATGGAAAAGGAAGCCAAATTTGTTATCAAGATCACAATGAGCATGTTTATCGAAATTAAAGATTAAGTCAATAAATTTTCTAATCAATCACCTCAGCATTTGTACGAAGTGATGTCATGAGAAGGGAACATATCTGATGGCGTAGAACCTGTTTAATTTTTAAGCAATCCTTTCAACTTTAAAACTTTTGTCAAAAAAACAGATAAATGCCAGGAGAGAGTTTTCTTAGTCAAGCTTAGTAATCACCTGCTCATATGGAACTAATATCCTGAAAACCGCAACATAATTTGACAATATGAACCTACAGGCAACAAATTAAAAACTAAGAGAAAAAACAAGAAGAAACCACATTCAATTAAATTAGTGAAAAGTTACAACGTAAGAGACGCCCTGTTGGAGTAAATAAGTAACCTTTATATAATCAAAGATTCCCAATTCCATAAAGGTTACAGCCTCCCAATTGCACAAGATATCCGTTAGAGAAACATTACAAAATATAGAAGATAAGGACCACTAAGTAGATGTTTTTTATTTAGCTACTTCAAATAAGGAACACTACTTTGTCTTTCTCTAGCTTTTGCGCAGTTTCTTGTTAAGATCTTCGTATAGAAAATGGAAAGTGGTTGTATTGCCAGTAAATCCTTCTTCATCGGTTTTGCTCATGTATATTACTTATTGGAAGAAAGAAACGGGTATTGTTCTTTCTTTATTACATTTCAATGAAATGTTTTTGCAATGGTTGGAGCACCCCTTTCTATTCTATAGAAAAGTCCTTTGAATGTCAAGTTTTTCAATTCGATGCGTGCAGATAAAGGGTACTCATGGATACGAAAAGTTCGGTTGCTTGATTCTGCAGGCTACTACCCAGTAAAGTCGGTATTTCATAAGCTCACAAATGGTTTTATGCATTCTTTCCTTTTCTTTTCTTTTTTTTCTTTTTTTGTAAGTGAGAAATCAAGCTTTGATTTAGCAAAATGAAAGAAAATACAGACATACCAAAAAAACCAGCCCTACACAAGGAGTCTATACACCAACTAAAAGCATAAATGGACTTCAATCTAAAAGAATAGACCTAGCTGATAATTTCAAAAAGCCCAAGAGATTGATACCCGCAAAGAATTGTTAAATTTAACAATATCCCAAACCTTTCTAACCCCTCTAAAAATCCTATTCTTCTTGAACCAAATACCGCACAAAACAGGAAAGAAACAAATCTGCCAAAGGACTCTGCCCTTATCCCAAAGAGGGTTCAGAAGGACCTCCTCCATCAGAAAACAGTCTCTGTCGCAAGCCAAGATAATTATGAACAACTCCAAACAGCAATTCCACAAAGACAAAGCAAACTAGTAACTCCACAAGATATGGCCAAGATCTACTGCTGTAGGCTATCCCAAAGTAGCTTAAATTTTATTAAATTGATTGTCCTTTACAGCTTAAGAACTCCTTTAATTATAGAAGTATTCAAATTAATCGTTGGGCTTATAACAAACTAACAAAAGTCTTATAACTAACTAACAGAAACACTAATCAAATAGTCGTTAGACTCTTAACTAAATTAAAAACCTAGTTGTTAGGTTGTTGTTTTAAATGAAAACTAGCCATTAGACCTATTAATGAGGCTACGGATTACATCAATTTCCATCCCATGGAAGAATAACTCATCCTCGAGTTAAGATGCTAACTGAAAATCATCTAGAGCATGGTATTCAAAAAAATCTGATACATTGAATGTTGGTGTAATCTTGTAATCAGATGGAAGATCAATCATAATGGGGAATGGTGCACTGAAAAGAAATAGGGCGTATACAAACTTCAGAGAAGAGAGATTTTCTTACTCTAGTATATCAAGAGCAAAGGTGCGCTGGAAAGAAATAGGGCGTAACCAAGTTGCCTGTGGAAGAAAAGCAGTCATTTACTGGAAAATTGGACAACAAAACTATTTAATTACATTGTCCCTAATGCAGATAACAAAAAGATATAATAAAATACTAAAAGGAAGAATTTGAGATGTAGGCTAATTTCCAAACTAGTTTTAGCATAAATAAAGAGTCTAAAAGGTTTGCAAGAATTATCTTGGTTTATAAACTAATAGCTTGAAGTAAGTACATACAGATCCACCTGCGGCAAGAGCTGTCAGATCTTCAAGCAATTGAAGCCCAAGCCTCCCAGCTTTAGTCAAGTTCTCTCGCTTCAACAATGGCCCTCCAGAAAGAGACTCATTTTTCCGTGTCCTGTTCGCGCCAGGATTAATCAAACAAAGAAGTTCAAGCTTTAACACCATGCTTATGGTGCATAATAACAGTGATGTTTTTTTTTTTAAGAAAAAAATCTACAGTAGACTTCAGTAGGTTAGATACTAATGATAGACAATAGTTTTCCTTCTATCAGAAAGTTAGATAAACATGTGCTGCAGTAGACTTCAGTAGGCACACATTAAATAACAGTTGGATAGCACCACAAAATATTAATCATACATAGAAAGCTGAGAACTATGAGAATAAAGGGATGTAAATAAAAAGATAAGCATACTTTGAGTTAGTGATGTTTTGATCATCATCGCCAATAACCAAACTGGTTCGAGATGTTTGACTTCCAGTACCAAACTTTCCCGCTGGAAGCGATTCAGCAAAAATTACATGATCAAAAATCAAAGCTACTGCTTGCCTAAAGGTAGCCGCTGCAGTACTGTATAGCACTCAAATGAAAGAGTTTTTGTAAATAAGGTGAAAAATTTTCAAGTAGCTGATGAAAAAATAATAATATAAGAAACAGACTTCAAACGTGTAAAATCAATAGACAAAATTCCAACATACTTTCGCACGCTGTCAGAAGATCTGTTATTTTCTAAAAGCCGAATACAGATGCCAAGAGCTTGAGCCATATTTTCCTGCAGTTAGACAATTGAGAACTTTTGTCTCCCATGATGAAGTTACAGTAGTAACAGTAATAATAAGAAGACGATATTGACAAAAGATTCTTCGTAAATAACTATAGTGATAATGCTGCAAACTTACTATTGACCGCATGTTCCTAATTTTCCAGATTTTCTTTGTTTTCTCTCTTTGAATAATAAATGAGATAAATTCTTCAACAGATGGAAATAAGGAATCTTCCAATCAGAGGAGGTTTATAAGAAGCATAACGAATCCATGTGATCAAAGAAGTAGAAAAATGATCAAATTTTCGGTGTAAAGCACTCAAGTGGAGACTGAATTGTACACAATCTTACAGTGGATGATTTTTTGCCTTTGAAGCCAAAAAAGCATATCTGAAATGTTAAATTTAAGAGGGTAAAAATATTCTGATATATTCAGATAGTGTAACTTAGGTCTTATTATATAGGAGAAAGACCTCCTACAGAAAGGATAGTAAACCTACTACGAAAAGGAATAGGAAACCTACAACAGCAAGGAAATAAATAAGAAACATAAAGACTAAAAAGAACTAATAAATTCCAACACTACCCCTCAAACTGGTTTAAAGATGTACTCCATAGTCAGCTTGTTGATTAGTTTGTCAAATTGCTTCTTTGGGAGTCTCTTAGTTAGTACATCAACAACTTGTTCTATTGTTGGAAGATAAGGAATATATATTGCACCTGTATCAATCTTTTCTTTAATAAAATGTTTGTCAACTTCAAAATGTTTTGTTCTGTCATGTAGAACTAGATTTTGAGCTATAAGTATGGCAGCCTTGTTATCACAATAAATCCATATAGGTGTTGTGTGAGGAAACTTCAATTCTTCAAGTATCTTTTTTATCCATATTCCTTCACAAATTTCATGGGCTAAAGCTCTAAACTCTACTTCAGCACTACTCCTGGCCACCACATTTTGTTTTTTGCTTCACCACGTAACCAGATTTCCTCCAACAAAAAACACCAACCAAAAGTAGATCGTCTATCCGTAGTACTTCTAGCCCAGTCCGCATCAATATAAACTTATACTTGAGAGTCGTTATTCTTTTTGAACAAAATACCTTTTCCAAGAGTTCCTTTCAAATATCTCAAGATTCTATAGGCAGCTTCAAAATGAGCCGGTTCAGGTGTATGCATAAATTGACTTATCATACTTACAGCAAAGGCAATATCAAGTCGTGTATGAGACAGATAGATCAACTTTCCCACAAGTCTCTGATATCGTTCCTTGCTTTTTATTTCTTCTTGTAATTTCATATTAGGTTCAATAGGAGTTTCAGCAATCATGTAGCCAAGTATACTTGGAGGCAATCAGGTCATGTATGAGACAAATAGATCAACCTTCCTACCAGTCTCTGATATCATTCCTTGTCTTTTATTTCTTCTACATTTGCTGCTTGTAATTTCAAATTAGGTTCAATAGGAGCTTCAGCAATAGCCAAGTAGGCTTGTTTCTCCAAGTAAGTCAAGAACACATTTCCTTTAATTAACAAAGATATCTTTCCTCGATCTTGCGAATTTCATCCTTAGGAAATATTTCGAGGTTCCCAAGCCCTTTGATTTGAAACTCATTTGCAAGATTTTTCTTAAAATCAGCTAGTCCTACTTCATAATCACCAGTGAGAATAATATCATCTACATAAACAATTAAAATTGAAATTTTATTATTCTTAGAGTATTTATAAAATATAGTATGGTCAACTTGACTCTAAAGAAATCAATAGCTAGATAGTGCTTTTCCAAACCACTCGAACCAAGCTCTCGGAGATTGTTTGAGGCCATAAAGAGATTTTTTTAATCGGCAGAATATTACATTCGAGTTCCTTTTCGAAACCTAGCAGTAAGTTCATAAAAACCTCTTCTTCAAGATCGCCATTAAGAAATACATTTTTCATGTGAAGCTGATGGAGAGGCCAATTTGAATGAACTACAAGCTAGGAAGCACGGACACGTAAAAAGGGGATGAGTGTCAGTGTCGAACATCGACACACTCAAACACGCGTCTGACACGTGTTGGACACGTTAATTAGCATGTCCTTTTTTTTTAATTTTATCAGACACGCAGGAACAATGCCGGGAAAAGAGAAAAATAAAAAAATTTCACAAGCTCTTCCATGTAGCGCCATCGTCATAAGCATGGCAAGCACCCCACCCATGGATAACAGATAAAAAAGGGAGGAAAAAAGGCAGAATCAGAAGATGAACAGTAAAAAAATTTTAAAAAAAATAAGAATAAGGAGTTGAAAAATGAAGATGAGGAAAATATTTGGAAGAAGAAGAATAAAGAAGAAAATAGAAGAACTAGACTAAAATTGAAACCTTACCTCTGTAGAAGCATATTGAAGTAAAGGAAGAATCAAAATAGAATAGAAATGAAGAATCGGATGGGAGATGAACAGTCAAAAATGAAATAGAATAAGGAGAGTTGAAAAATGAAGATGAAAAGGAAAAATATTGAAGAAGAATAAGAGACAGAGAAGAATAAAAAGAAGAAATAAGAAAAGTCGAAAAACTATAGACTAAAGACAAAAATCTTACCTTTTGTAGAAGCATTTTTTTATGAGAAACTGCAATTTCATTGAGAGAAATAAAAAAGAAGATGCACAAAAGGGGCATACAAAAAAACAGCCTGGCAAAGTGAACCCTTATAATAACGGACTCCAATCCAAAAGAATAAGACCTAACGGATAATTACAAAAGGCCTTAGTGGCCGAACCCCATAAGGAAGTATTAAACCTTTTGTAGAAGCAGTAAAGTAGAAGAAGAATCATAATAGAAATTAGAATAGAAGAAGAGTTAGATGGGAAGAAGAAGAAAAGATAGAATAAAAAGGAGGAGAAAAATGAGGGGAGGAAGAAGAAAAGACTAATTTTATAGGAGCATTAAAAGAAGAAAAAACTGAAGAAGAAGAAGAAGAAAAGACAAGAAAAACTTACCATTTTTATGAGCGTTAAATGAAGAAGAAAGGCAGAATAAAAAGAAGAAAGAAAGACGCATGGGAATAGGGAGGAAGAAGAAAAGTCTAGAAAAACTTACAATTTCTAGGAAGCATAAAATCATGCCAAGTGCCACTGCATGATATCAAATTGCCAAATGAAGCATTTCTCCTCCAATTTTAAAACCTTGTGTGGGCTATTAGGTAAACCATATTTTACCATATCTTTTTCCTCAATTAAAAAAAAAAAAAATATATATATATATATATATCTTAAATATTTCTACTTTTATTTTTTTCTAAATTATTTAAGTTCATTTTTGTTTATATATCAAATGATTTTGTTAATATTTCCATCATTTAAATATCAATTATACAAAAAAATATGCACACACATATATTTCTTACATTAAAAAATTAACGTATCCCAACATGTCGTGTTCTACTTTTTCGGAAATTAATGTGCCGTCGTGTCCGTGTCGTGTCGTATCCATGTCTCGTGTCCGTGTTTGTGGTTTCTTATCTTTTGGCAACTCTACTGTCTCCCAAGTATTATTCTGCTTTAGAGCATTCATCTCTTCTATAACTGCTAGTCTCTAATTTGGATCTTCTAAAGCTTCATGTATAGTACTTGGAATAAACATATCAATTATCCAAGATGTAAAAGCTCTATGACTATTTGACAGCTTTTGGTATGTGATGTATTTTGCAATAGAATATTTGTACAACTTCAAACACCTTTGCTAATTGCTATTGGAACATCAAGGTCAGAGACAACGGGTGAAATAGTCGAAGAAGTAGAAATAGAAGATGGGTTACCAATATTTTCAGTTTCATTTCTCTAAGTCTCAGGTTGGTTCTGTGAAGGATCAACTATCTGGTCTTCGTTTATTTGATTGAATTTTCTCCTAGTATAAAACTTAAAACTCAGAAATTTGAGCAGTAGAATCATCTTGTAGTATTTCTCCTCCTAAATGAAAAGTTTCTACGCTAGGTATCAAAGAAATAGTAGGATCAGGAGGAGGAATAGTAGAATCAGGAGGTATCAAAGGAATAATAGAATCTCTAGAAACTTTGCTGATAGATAAAAGGTTACAGATTAATTTTGGAACATGGAGGACGGACGGTATAGAAATAGTCTTAGTCAATTTAATGGTTCATTTTCCTGCAACGGAAGAAAAACAGCCATCTGCAATTCTAATTTTTTCCTTAAACTTTTCTCTTCCTTTTCATATTTCAATGAAAAGTTTGTTTCTTGTTCAAAAAAAAATTCATTGGAATATGAAAGAGTATATGAATCAAATAGATGAGAAGAACTATGATCAGACGCTCCAGAATCTATAATCCACGGGGAGGATTGTTGGGGTTCCAGTGACAGCAGCAACCGGCAACTAGGGTTTCGACGACGACAGTGACATCGAGTAGGGTTCCACCGGCGGCAACAGCAGCGGCAGCTAGGGTTTCAAGGTTGTAGTTTAAGGGGCAGCTAGGGTTTCATTTTGTAGGGAAGGGATTGTTATGGCTAAAGCTTTTAGGAAAGGCTAAAAGTGGTAGTAAAAATAAGGATTTTCCCTCTCTGATACCATGTTAAATTTAAGAGAGTAAAAATATTCTGATATATTCAGATAGTGTAACTTAGGTCTTCTTATGTAGGAGAAAGATCTACAATAAAGGATACAAAAAGGATAGTAAACCTACTACTTATAGGATTAGGTCAACCTTGTATATTTGTCTATATATATAGACTTTAGTAATAAGAATAAACTACATTGGATTCTCTCAAACCCTAGTGTTTACACAACTAATACCCCCTTTGCACTTCTCATTTGTTTTCCTGCTTGAATAGCACAATACTTTATTACCATCAAGTGGAGGAGCCTTAACTGTCTGCCATCTTCTAATTCCGAAATGTGGCCTTCAATAACGGGGATTTAAACAAGTAAATCAATTTTAAATAACCTTAGTTAGGAGGAATTCCCTTCAGAGACCTTTAAAAACCACACCATTTGCTTCATCTTTAATCGACATTTCATTAATAATTGAATCATGCAAACATAAATTCCCACTTGTTTCTTTACTTTGATCAAAAAACAAATCTACTTCCTCGTTTTGTAAAGGCAAGGAGATTTTGACAGACAGTTCATCTTCCAAAACATTTTGAACAAGAGCAATGTGAAGTTTGTTAGAGAACAACTTAAATTGATGGCACCTTTCATTGCAAATGATGATGGAGGCCTAACATTTCTCATATCTTCATCATCCATAACACTAACACATAAAATTTTCCAATATTTAGATCCTTGATTTCTTAAACCCCAGCAAGAACGAAACCACATAAGTTCTAATTGACACCAATACAAGCAACTTCGCAATCCAGCATGTTCAGGTTTTGGAAGAACGTCTCACAAAACCCCCAAAATTATTTCCTAAAGCTTCAAAACATTATCAAATCCAATAGCTTAATGGTAATTTCAGAATTTAATCCAAAATGATGGAGGCTACGATGCTACACAACATACAAAAGATAAACTTCCTATTGTTGTAAGAAGCTTGAGGAAGCTCTGAAGGAGGGATCAACCAGAGCAATAGCAACTTGATGGTGGCGTGCATAGTACAATGACATGATTTCCTACGACTAATAAAAAGGCATGATTACTGATTAGTCACGTGCAGAGTATAATGACAATTGGTGTGTCTTCTACAAGAAAAATGTGAAACATCAAACACTCATTTTCTTCACTTGCTCCTTTATTGAATCATTTTGGAAAAACCTCCTTAGTACTTTCCAAATCAACAGGTACTCCAAGGCCTAACAAAGTTCTTTGGACCAACATGGTGGTGGCACTCCTTTGGAGACTGATTTGAAAGAAACAGGAGGATTTTTCAAGCGGAGTAGTCTGCTCCAGATGATTTTTGGGATCTAATTAAAATTTTTCGCTTCTAGTTGGTGAGTTGTCCCAAAATATTTTTGTAATTATTCTTTCTCTCACATTAATGCAAACTTCATCTCCATCCGTTTTGATAATTAAAGTATTGTTTCCTATTAAAAGAAAAAAATCAAAAGGCAGGTACTTCAACATTGAATTCAGTGGTGGGACTAACGCACCTACTAAACCAATGCATTTGAAGAGATAGATCAAAGATCAAGAGCTTGGGGTAATGTGAATAGTGATATCACATATAATTCTAAAGTAAAATGCATGCACTGTGAAATAAGATCTCATCAACAACAAATGAACAAGAGAAATAAAATCTATCAACTTGCCCACTTTGTACTTGTGAATGACATATTATTACTTGCACAACGGTCATCTTATGGAGATAAAAATTTGTAAATGCTCATTACCTCACTTTTAGGATGTAAGCGGGATTGAAAAATTATTAGTATAGTTTGAAGTGTTTTTAACTGCACAGTCTCATCTGATATTTCAGCGTGCTGCAAGAAACAAAGTAATTTGTATTAGAACATTTTTTTAACAAGATACGATCTTCTCATTGATGAAATATAAAGACATAACAAAACTTCAAATGTAACAAACTCAAAAAAGGAGTAAAAAATGAAAGCAAAAGGAAAATACAAAGCTCTGGAAAGATTGCAAATCTTTCAAACTCAAGGTCTTAAACAACAAATAAAGAAGCGCAAACCCTCTGAAACATAGAATTAAAGACCAAAAAAGATAAGAATAATCTTCTCCACAGCATTTAGTTGGAGTGGTACAAGAAGTTTTATAACTACACTACTGCAGTCAACCTAGATTTAGGCTCTTCCTTCCGACCTTCTCTTTGGCAAGTCTTTTTCCCCTGGCATCTTGTTCCTTCTTTTGTATGTACACTTTGATCTCCATTTCTTATTAAAAATAAAATAAAAAAAGGCTGCACTACTTCACTAGTTACTTTTGACAAATTAACATAACAAAAGTAGTTGATCAACTCAGATAAAAGTTTCAGAAATGAAAAACACAATTAGCAGTATTTATCCCTGAATGTAACAAAGTAGTTGATCAAATAAAGTCACTGAAAGTTACAATTTCACTTAACATTGTAAAGCAGGCCACCATGACTACTGTTAAGAACTTACATCTTTCAGGGTAAAGAGTATTTCTGTCAAGGCAGAAGGACTGACTGCATCATGAGATATAAGCTTTTGTAGAGACGAAAGTCCAATGACACTCAACTTTATAGTTTTGGCTCCGCATGCCAACAAAAAAATTCGTAATATATCTTCATTTTCTGCTATGTCACGGGGACTTGACATTGATCGAAGCTGAAAACCCACAAATGGAGATAGATGTTAAAATTCATGACACTCCCAACGCTCTATGCAGTCAAACTCGTTGTCATTACAACCTTATATCTCGAAGCATAAGTAATGAGTTATGTCGTAGAATTCATACTTCATAGACTGATGCTACCAGGTTCCAACACTAACCATCTAGCCAGGAATTTCATTCGACCATAAATAAGTTGAAGTTTGTTTCATTGCAAGAAAAATTTGAAGAAGGGGAAAAAGAAAGTTAACACACTTTATTTGTTTCTGTTCCTTCATTACACGAAAGCAAAACAGCAAATTCCGCCGTTTCAAACGAGAATTTCAGCTCAGGCATTCCAATCAGCGATTAAAATGGAATCGTCAACACATACAATTACAACTATTGTGACGCCAATTAAACTACGCAGTCACACTTCATATGAGAGTAAGAATGAAGTTAGACCTTTAAAATAGCGTGCTCGGCTCCATCTTTGACAGCCGGGTGACGGCGGCGAGCTTCAACGGACAGCGCGCGAAGATCAGATTCGAGTACAGCCATGAAAGCCATGTGAGAAGCTTGGGAAGTTTGAGTTTGTCAATGGTGGAATGCGGATGGAAGCATTTCAAAGCAAACTGGAAGAGATCAAACGTGGTATGAGATTCAGATGAAATGCACGCTATGGGAGAGAGAAGACATGTAGATCTCTAGCGAGCGATGGCAAGCGGGTTGAAACTGAAACCGTGAAAGAATCACTGTTGGGGAGAGAGGACTTTGCACGTGGGCTCGGCCTCACACGTGTGAATAGAAAAACTTTTGGACCTGAAACCCATTATGTCTGGGCCTCTTCCTTTTGGAAAATTTATGGGCCGGACTTAAGGAAGTTCATTATTTGTTATTACTGATTTAAATCGGTACCTCAATTTATAGATTTTGCAATCGCAACGTTGCCAAAATAAATAATGCGTTTCAAAAAATAGTCTTCAGACTGAGTGACATTTTTTTAATCATAAATAAATATTTTAATTTAATATATCATTGTAAAAAATTAGATATATATGCTTAATTTTAGAGATTTATTTGATACAATTAATAGCAAATCACTCCATCCGCACGCCCACTGTCCGGTTCTTGTCCAGCGTCGACCGTCGAGATCTGCCGCCACGTTAAAAAAGGAGAGTAGGATTCACCCTAAATTTCGTCAAAAACCCACATGACAGGAGGACAGAAAGAGGGAAATCATGAAAGATGAGCCTTCGAGGGAGGGTGGGATTCACGTTAGAAAGCACCCACACCATAATCCTTTTAAGCCCCCAAAAAAATGCTAATAATAAAAAAATATTATTATCTCTTTTTTAAAAAATATATTTGTAGATTTGTATTTTTGTTCAACTAACATCGGTGGACGAAATTTTAATTTACATCAATTTTTAAACTGGTATCTCATGTTTTAAAATATTTAATTTTTCTTTCAAGATATAACAAAAATCATCTTAAAATAAAAAACATCATATATATCTATATATCTTAGAAGTAAAATTAAAATGGTTAAAACATCAGAGATTAAATTACGGGATGTTACATGAAAGTTGTTCTAAACCAAGATCTATGTCTAAAAAATAATGCTTACCAAGTTTTTTGAAATGTGAAAACATATGAAGGTGCATGAAAAATATTGTACAGAGATTTTTCCAAAACATTATGTTTAGAATAAGCAGTCAACGACTTGGTCTTTAAGGAGAAAGGGAGAGGTTATCTCTAGAGTAAACGTGTCAATCTAGCAGATGGTGAAAGATACTATCTGAAATTACTATTAAATCATGTTAAAGGACAAACATCATGTGATGATTTGTTAAAAGCATATGGAATACAATATTCATCTTTTAAGACAGTAGGACAAAATCGAAGATTGCTTTAATCTAAAAACAGTATCATAGAATGTTGGACAAAGCATCATCATTTCAAATGCCACAAGCATTTAGAAGACTTTTTTTGACAACATTATTAGCACATTGTGAACCTACCTAACTTAGACAATTATGAAAAATGTACTTTAGAAGTTGAAATCCAACTTACTTTGATTGATTTGCGAGTGTTTCTAGAGTCCATGGGAAAAAATTTTAATACTTATGACTTGCCAGCTATCAAATCTAACTCATTTGAATAATGTTCAAGGAGTACAAAAGAAATGTCAGATGAAGAAGTTATAAATGTCTTAAGTTAGGATATTGATGTTGTTTCGAAGTTGAACTGATCATAACAAAAAATTGCGTATGATTATATATTGGAAAAGAGCAACAAGTAATAAAGTTGGTGTATTATTTGTTAATGATCCAGGAGGGACTGAAAAAACATTTTTATATTATTCACTACTTAAAACAATTAGGTCACAAGGAATTCTTACACTTGTCACTGCTAATTCGAGTGTTGGTGCTAAAACTACAAAGTTTTCTTTGTATATCATATCAAAACAAAGTAGTAAGACTGGATTACTAAGACGGGCGAGAATTATTATATGAGATGAAGCATCAATGGCAATGAGATTTGTAACTGAAACAGTTGATAGAACACTTCGAGATATAATGAATAGTTTCAAACCATTAGGGGGAAAAGTTTTTGTGTTTGGTGGTGACTTTTTCTAGGTAAAATACCACGGGCTACAAGACAACAAACAGCTAATGTTAGTCTTGTAAAGTCATATCTTTGGTAAATTGTGGAAAAGCTTAAATTAACAACAAACATGAGAGTCATCTCTGATCAAAAGTTTGCAAGTTTCTTGTTGCGAGTTGGTAATAAGAAAGAAAGAAGCATAGAAAATGATCTCATTTCCCTTACATAACAAATGCTCATTCACTACGAAGATGAAAAAGATGCTGAAATAAATTTTAATAAAGCATCTTTCACCATTTGGAAGAAAATGCTACAATTTCATAATATATAACCAGTAGAGCAATTATAGCTACAAAAAATGAATTTGTTGACTAGGTAGAATGAAAAATTGATTCACATATTTTAAGAAGAATAATTTTTTGTGAGTTTTAATGAAGTAGTTGATTACAGAAATAATTATTATCTAGAAGAGTTTCTTAATACATTGCTTTCGAACAGAATTGCTCCTTATAAGTTAATTCTTAAAAAGAATCACCTCATTATACTTATGAGAAATTTAGATCATGTTAATGGTTTGTGTAACGAGACAATAATGTATGTAAAGACTTTGTCAATCATATTTTACATGCAAAAATTTGTATTGGTCAGATGTCGGAAAACAAGTTTTTCTCACTTGAATTCCTATTAGCCCATCAACCGATGACAGTTATCTATTCAAGTTGAAAATGAATCAATTTCAATTACGCTTTTATTTTCCAATCACGATAAATAAGGCACAAAGCCAAATTATACTACATGTTGGCGTATATTTATAGAAACACATTTTCTGTCATGGACAATTATATGTGACATTATCTAAAGGTACCTCAATGTCAACAATTAAGGTATTCATCAAATTAGATTCTACAACGAGAATAAAGACAACATTTACAAAAAAAAAATGTTGTTTACAACGCAGTGATGCTCACTAAAGGTATACCGAACTACAATATAAATTTATAAGCATACATAAATTCTAGAGAATTTGCAATATCGTCATTCTCAAAGAATAGCAGAAGATCCCTTTCTTTTGTTTCCAAACTATTGCTCCCCCAAGCAAGATCGTCATTCCCAAAGAATAGCAGAAGATCGGTGAGGTAACACGACGTTGTCGCCAAGGCTAGATATGGCGACGAACTCGAAGTCGTCACCAAAGCTAGCTATGGCGACGAAATACCATTTGTCGCCAAAACTAGATTTGGTGACGAAATCCCCTTTTTCTCGCTAAAGCTGGCTATGGTGACGACGTATATTTTGTCGCCCTAGACATCGCGCAAGCCAGCTTTGGCGACGAAAACAGAATTTCGTCGCCAAAAACCTATAGTGATGGGGCAACGGCAACAACTTTGGCGACGACATTTTTTCGTCACTAAAACCTTTTAACGCAAATTTTGTCGTTTCCAAAGCCTGAAATTCTTGTAGTGCAAGAACTATAAACTTTCAATGAGGTCATTAATGATAAGAACAATGAGAAATGGAGGGCCACAATGAAAGAGCAGTTTTATTATTTAATAAAGAATAAAACTTAGATACTTGTTAACAAGCCATTAGAAGCGAAAATAGTAGGTTGTAAGTGACTTTATAGAATTAAAGAGATCTCTGAAGATGAAAATAATCTCAGGTTCAAGAAAGCTAGGTTAGTTGCTAAGAGGTTAACTAAAAGAGAGAGCATAGACTATGATGATGTTTTTTCTCATGTGGTTAGACATACTTTCATATGCATCTTGCTTGTTTTTGTTGCACATTATAACATTGAATTAGAACAAATGAGTGTTAAAACTGCATTCTTGTATGGTGAGCTTAAGGAGATCATTTACATGGAACAACTTAGGGGTTTGAAGCTCCCAAACAAGAAGAGAAAGTTTGCCTCCTTAAAAGGTCTTTATATGATTTAAAGTAATCTCACCTCGTCAATGGTATAAACATTTTAACACTTAATTATACAATTTCTATCAACTTTAATAGAACTAAGTATGATAGTTGTGTTTATTTTAAAAAAGTTTCTAAATTTGATTTTATCTAATTGCTTTTATATGTTGATGGCACGTTGATTGCTTATATCTAATATGCGATTTATAAGTTACAGGGCCTTTTAAGTAGAGAGTGCAAAATGAAAGATTTAGGGCAAGCAAAAAGAATACTCGGGATGAATATTAATTACTAGAAAACATGATAGTAACCATTTGTATTTGTCTCAAAGAATTGCATAGACAAACTAGTCAAAAGATTAGCAATGCAAGATTGAAGGAAGGTTAGCACACCTTTGGGGAAACATTTTAAATTGTTTTCTAATGATTCTCCCTCATGGTTGGCTTAAGCTATAGGCGAGCGAGGCAATCGTCTAAGGCCCTCGTTCTAAGAATGCCTCATATTTTTCCTATAATATATAATATTGGTGTCTATTTAATTTAGTTTTCAATTATAAATTAAATTTAAAATATAAAATAATTTACGTATTAAATTTCATAATTTTTTATAATATTGAAAATGCACACTACTACAAAAAAAATCGACAATTAATAAGCTCATAAATTTCTCTCAAGTTTGATTTGTTTATATTTCAAATTTCCTTAAAAATCTGAACCCATTAATATAAGCTCCTCAAAATTCTCCCAAGTTTAAGTTGAGAGAGTGGAAGAGTATTTTGTTTATCTTTTTATTTTTTTTTTCACAACCAAAATTTTTCAACTTATCTAAAAAAAAAACTTCATAAATATTTTAATTTTAGGTTGTCGCCCTCCCCCCTCTCTTACTCTCAATCACTCTAAAATCTCAAATTTCATCTTGACCTTCTATGTGGTCTCAAAAGATTATCAATTACTAGGGTAGAAATCGAAGTTTTTTATTCCCTCAACTCAACCTAGCAGCTTCAAAGTTGTAGGTTTTTTGTTCAAATTCTTTCCTTTTTCATAAATTATTTCATATTGTTGATGTCTCAAAATCTAATATCTAAGATTTGTTTAGATTTGCTAACTTAGAATATCAATATGTCTACAATAAAATATAAATTTGGATATGAAAAATTAAAAGAAAAGAATAATAGAAAAAAGTTGAACATCAAGTGCTATCGATAAATTTGTA